TACACACAAAGTCCGGGTAAAGTTAGTGCGGCATTTTGCAGCAATCGCTTTCGAGTCTCTAAAACAATGAATTCTCGATAAGCTCCATTTATTTTTCAGTAAGTTGACAGTTAATTTTGCCTATGCAAATCCATAGTTGACTTATCAAAAACGGTATCATGCCCACAGAAATTGCGTGAGTTTACCTCAAGGTAGGACGAGTCTACTAAGGTAAGGAATTGTTCAATATTTTTTAATTACAATGTAGAAGTTAAGTTCGGCATTGTTGGAAATACATTCATGAATACACCAATTGATACTGATATTTTCTTCCTTAACAATGTGTCGGAACTTTTTAATCTCCAGATTCAGTAAATGTATTGAAGACCGCATACCACAAGTTTGTCACCGCTGTGAGTTATTCAACTTACATAACAAATAAAAACACTCACTCATCATCCTGGCCTTTAGAGTTCTCAGAAAACACGAGACGTTCCAGCATGTGTTCGAACAAATGGGTGAGTTCTAGATGAGCTGCCTCAAAGGCAACAAATGGCAGAGCCGAACAGTTTGAACTTAAGCTGTCCAAGGCGTAAGTTACCGGATCTTCTCCATTCAGTAAATGATCAGCTTGATCGCTTAGAACACCAAACAAGGTGAGAATCAGCAGTTGACATTTTATTGGAGCTATGACACAAGAAGAACAGGTTAGAAATTTACGTAAAATCAAGTACGTAACGCAATTTCGGAGAAGTAGCCGGAGGTATTGTGTAGAAGTTGCTAACGAATAAGGTATCTCTTTTTAATTAGCAGCATTATAGGACTGAGTGACGCAATTATACAAATGCCTCAATAAGGAGTATCGCTCTTACCATTATCCGGCATAATGAACCGTGATGTAATGCAGGCACTTCAATTTTCGATCTTACTCCTTTAGGAACTCTACTCCTCCGAATCCTTCTAGGTATTTGACACTCGTTTTATACAAACGCTGCAACTTCGAGGTTCTCCTAATTTAACCGTCTGTATAAACACAGGAACATCTCACTTTGCCTTGACTATGAGACCGTTAACATTGTCCATTACGAAGTGCAAATTGCTGTTGTTTGGACGGCTAATAACATCCGATTCAGACTGAATTGGGTCACGCTGGATATAGGTGGTCCCAACCGAATAATCTTAAGCGATGGTGGCCTGGGTGTAAACATTATACACATAGCAACAGTCTTACAAAACAAGTACAGAGCTAATGACATTTCCGCTTTAAAAGTCACACCAGCACGCTGCCTGACAGGGCATAAAAGTGCGGCTGAAACCCATCGAGCGAATACCCCGCATGAAAGCAGATTCCCAAGCGATGGTTCTATGCTTTGTCGTATCACTACGCTTGAACGTCTGATGTTCTTTAAACTAATTAGTGTTGACAACGTCTCAATCTTCCCGAAAAACACGCTCAAGCAATCAGCCCTTCCACCTCCTAAATCGTTTAAGATCTGCTCCGGAAAAATTGAAAAATGAATCTGCTCCATGTGATTCACCTGTACTTAATGTCCATACCATCCAATTGGACTGTGCCTCAAAAAATCGGGGATCCTATCGTTAGTTTCTGATTTTTACTCGTCACAAATTCATACCGCCCATGCAAGAACATGGTATCACGTTGACGTATATGATACGTGATAAATACGAATGCGGCTTCTCACTTGGAGTGAAATATAGCTGTTAGTATTAGACGAGTGACACCTGTAATCTAAGCCACAAATTGACATCTTGCAATTAATACATGGAGAATGAACTGGATGCATTATGTATAGTTGAATTTTCACCTGCCTCGTATAAATTTAATCTGACACATGAAGAAAAACATGATCTTACGAAAGAAGAACTGCTTGCGCAAAACTGACCAGCTACGCCATGTGTAGGGTCCAATTGAAGCAGGTGGGTGAAATAAAGTACTCTGTAAAACAATATTACCGGAAAGCTATCACTAGATGTTTTGGTAGAGATACCAGGGTAATTTCTAACGCTCATTTATCGGATGGCGGAACTCCATTAGCTGTTTGCAAGGTATAAAATCCCGTCGGTTGCTGGAGTAACCTGGAAGAACATGGAATTTCTCCTTATCTACATGTTCCCCCCCGCAGCCTCCAGTGAACCACACCAAAACTAACCTCTCGCGGTCAGTCAGTAGCTCAGTTTCACATTCGCTTAATTTCCCACAACATACTTCCGAGACTACTAGTAAGTTACCGTTCGGATAAACTTCATTACCCGGTAAATTGCCTTCTTTTTTGGTGCGGCAAGTGCGTTTCCAGACATTTGCCATTCTATCCCTACTCAAACAGATACGCAACAGCGACTGGAGGGACTTTACATCTAAACTCACACTGGTTAATCACGGTCAGCTTGTCTTCAGTGATAACCGCCAGGCTGGGTTCACTGCATTCTTCCTCGTTCACTAACCTCCAGCTGTAGCCTCCATAATAATTTACCAAGCTGCAAAGCAATGCAACACAGTAGACGCCAAATGTTACTTTAGGTTGATATCAGATTACATGTTACGGTGTTGACAAAATCTACCGCATGAATTTACCCATACGTACTTTACGAGTAGCGGCTCACCATGGAAATTCGAAACCTTTCTTACTTGTGTAATTCGCTAGCCAATAATTGTCAGTTTATCTGTAAAGCTGGTCAAAAGGTGCATAATGAAAGTTCAGAATTCCTTCTGTCGAATAGATAAACCGCAGCACGGTTTTCCTGTTAAATGACCGTGCGTCGCTTTTCAAGTGTATTATGTAAAGGACATTTCGGTATCTATCGCTTCCGGCCATGCAGTGGTTGTAATGTCTCTGGACATACACCAAGCATTCGATCGAATATCTCACAGGCGTGTGTAAAACATAGAAGCCTTTGGGATCCGGAACGTATTACAAGATTGGCTGTCATGCTTGCCAACAAGTAGTCTCTTTAAGGGACTATCGCTCAGCGCCGCACGTCATCACTAGCGGTATCATCCATGAGAGCGTGCTTGGCGCTTCTCTTTTCTTGATCTACATCAATATCACCACCACATCCGTAAAATATGATCGGCCAATTGTGTCCGCCGACGAAATCATGATGTTATATAAGCATCGATGCCGTGAATCCTTCAAGATGACTTATGTTCCTTAGAGACAAGGTTTCACAAATAGACCATGAACCTCTTGGTTTAAGTATCAGACATCATGTCATACGGATGTTCCATTCCTTAATGTTCTATTGCACTAATCAATGAATATATCCCTACACAATAGTCTAAGCATGATCTCGGAATTAAATACTCATGTGCCTACAATTTCTTCGAACAGACCCAATGCCAAGTAGTACCTCCGAGGCGATATGTGTTTAACATAACCAACACAATCCACACAATCAAACCTAGAGTTGAACTCATAAAGCTATTCACCCGCCCCATCCTCGAGTCATGCAACATAATATACGGAAACATGAGTATATTCGACAGAAATGCTCAGGAACGCATACAAATATCGTTTACGAAACACCTGATAAGTAAGCGTTCCCCAATGAAGTGTCGAGAGCGTTACAAGAAAATTCAACTCGAAGCACTGTGGACGTGATATTCGAAGATTAATTTGTTTCTGCCTTACAATTTGCTATTCAACAATACCCATTCCGATGTGCATACACGTGAAGTGTAGTGGAAAAGTATAGCTCAGTTCGAGAGCTTCGCAACAAGTATTATGCACTGTTTAGAGCAGAAGAGGTAACAAGCTTGCATCCCGATTTATTCATGATCAACTAGACCTATCTATGAAATAAACGCTTAATCACACTCACGTCAAATGAACTAGTTGCAATTTTTGATCACGTGATCGCGTTATCTTTGGAACGACCAGTCGATCAACTATTCCAAGATGGGCCATAAACAGGCCAAACACTTAAGTGTACAAATCTTGTCTTTTGCCTCATACATCCACTACATCGCTATTATATAAAATTCAGGCATTCATGTTGCACAGATGCGTACGGCGTATGCAAGCTCAGAGTTACAGTTTATGTAGACATCACCTCGCGGATCAGGGGAATATACCCATAGTTATTAATACTTCACTGCAGAAACGCCAGGTTTATGGAGAGTGATATAATAAGGCAATGCGGGCCATTCACTACATAGAGTGCTGCGTTTTGGAGTAGGCAAGGTTGCTAGTACCCGTGACAGCTACTTAACAACTTCAGTAATGAACGATCTCCATATTTTGCCGACTGCTGATGCGAAGAGAGACTAATAATACAAGAAATAAGTTCACTGTTTGAACCCGTAACCCGCAGCGTTGCCTACTTAACATATTGTCTTTAAACGTAAATCATTTTATACATTTTAGGTGCCCCATTTTCTTCCGGAAAGCGTCGGAAATCTGCAGTCGGGTATAGGACTGCCAAATGTAGTTAAAGATTGATTAGATGAAACCAATGACATATGGTTTCAACTTGTATACTCAGATAGGCAATATTGTAAGCGATAAATTTTGAAACACATGCACCCAGTGGTTTCGGTTCTGCTTCGCTTGTGACTTAATGGGAGACAATGTAACTTTGCCTCCGAGTTCGGCAGTACACGTCACACTAAACTTTTAGTTATAAACAGAACTAACTTGAACACCAACGCAACAATCTGGAGGTGAAAGTGTGAGCAGTAGTCTATTTGAACTCAAGTGATAGATATAATCTGCAGTGCGGGAGAATGCGGTCGTCCAGAGGAAAAAGAGCACGTTCATTATGGAGTTACTTACAGGAACAACAGCTAGGTGTTGGTTTGCTAACCAATTTCGTTTAAACATTGGGACTTTGTGCTGAATGTTGTAACGCGTGGAGAATTATAGAGGCATTTAGAGATATCATACTATTATACCGGCAAGCTAAGCCATAGTATCGAGGAAGTCGCAAATAGTCCATTTTGCTTTGCCCGTATTCGTGTCAATGGAACGATTGATTTTAGCTCCACGGATAGGTTAAAACCCTCCGCTAAGAACGGACGTGCGTTACTATTAGGCGGTGGCACCGAAATGACTCCGTGACACAGTTTCGAGAAGTGAAGTAGGCCTGCGGCAACTCACGCGAAAGCTGATCAATGCAGTGCGTCATCATGACACGTGTCAGCCCCGCTAGAGCTGGCTAGTGGATCTGTCTATACCATTTCTCACTTGCTAACATCCTTAACGCAATCGTTTACATCCTTAGTGCAGAGGCCATCATTCTCAGTGCAGAAACTCTCCTCCATAATGCAAGGGCTATCATCTGACAATCATCACATTTGCATCCACGTAGCACTGCGTGGGCAGAGGCTACTAGCCCTTCGGACAAAGTTGAATGCCACACTATCAATTCCTGGAACCAATTATTCCGAAGAGGTAGATCGATATCAGACCACTTACCAGAAGGTTACTACTCCGCTCCAGCCCGGAACATTCTTGCGCGGGAAGGTAAACGCTGCATCAAAAGGACAGTCCACGTTATCAGATCTGATAAGGATAACGCGTGCGTTTCGACCAGGCCCTTACCGGCTGGAGGATGGCCGCGCAGTCAACGCCCGAGATTATTCACAACTATCAGACGAAGGGAGCATGTGCCACCAATCTTCACTGACGAAACTACGCAAAGCACACAGCTCCGCAGGAGGTGCAGAAAACCAAAGCCACTGAACGGATATGGTTTTGACGCATAATAGGATTAAGCGGAGTGGTGAGGTTGTGTATTCTGTCAGCATTCTTGACGGCTAGTCTAAACAGACACGTGCACAAAACCCTAGACACACACACAAAGCGCTTAATTCTCTACTTCCCTATTGGTTCATCCTTCTCCTTTCGACACCTTAATTTACTCACCCAGTTAGACATTTCTCAGATTACAGCAGTTCCTTCACGGAAGTGACCTTCTTAATACTGCTCGTGCATTTGACTTTTTGTATATTACATATTTTACGAGACCAGCTGCTTGTAGTGTAATCCCTTCGCAACAAAATATTACATATCTGCGTACTTGCGGAACAAGGAGGAAAGTAATAGAATTCACCGGTTAACATATCATTAGAAAGGAAATCGCAAGACTGCAATCAAACATCTATCACATGCCTCCTTCTTCCCTCCATTGGTGATCATATCATTCCACCCGGGAGCTGTCCTGTCTAACTCGATCAGATTTGACCTGTGTGGTTCGTAAGGTGGCCAATTGATTGGAATGTGATCACCTTCTACCCCACCTTCAACTTAGACCTGCTGATCCGTCACAAAAGTGATATTTCATCGCATAAAGAAAGAAGTTATGAGTTGTGATTGGTATCCATTCTGCTGAGACTGAGATCGTTCCGCTCCCTATGTTACGGACAACTTGACTTTGAGGTCAAACGGTAGCTTCTACTGCGCCTTCAACTTTCCGACCAAGCAGGCCTGAATACCCACCAAAACGAGGCAACTTATCTGCGCCTCTTATTAGACGACCTTTATAGTATAAAGCCAACGTTGTGCACTGTTGTCCTGCTTGCATCATTTGCGCCGTAGCCTCAGACATCACCTTTGCTCACTTGCAAAAAGGCATGACCACATTTCATGCTTATACTCAGTGCTCTGAGCGCACGTTTTTCCCTTCCCTCAGGAACTGTGCGCGCTCCAGTGGATGTCTCAGAGACGCCCATTGTCCAGTGATGGTGCGCGGCACACTGTGCACCGGCTGAGTTCCGTTTTGTAAAGTCTCAGTTGTCGTCCGTTTGAGTTGGACCCCGCTAGTCTCACCCAAGTCTCACAGTTTTCCTACCCACCTCCAAAAGCGTCAGTATTCTGCGCGTATCTGTGTTCAGTCTCTACGCTATACCGAATTCTACTGTTTGGTAGCCTCTGCCCACGAAGTGCTACGTGGATACAAGTGTGATAATTATCAGATGATAGCATTTGCATTAAGTAGGAGAGCTTTTGCACTAAGAATGATGGCTTCTGCACTAAGGATGTAAGTGACTGCGTTAAGGATGTTAGCAAAAGAGAACTGGTATAGACAGGTGACGTGGGTCAGCTCAGAAACGCGTGGCCTTAGGTGGTGGCATGTGACCTGCAAAATTAACCATGTGCTGTTCCTAATACACTACGGTCTGGCGGGCTTCCGTCTTCTGTCTTTTGCCCCGGCTGGATTTGCGGCGCAAAGAGCAGAGGTAAGCAAAGCGTTAAGACATTTACATCTTAGCAAAAAATTCAAAGTCTGATGACAACTTTTACGAACCTGTCCTTCTGATATCAACCCGCATCTCCACGCAGTTGTTGATAGTATGGAATTAATGAAGGGTGTATTTGACAATTGTTTTCCCATTGGTTGTGTTGGTACTTTCTTGCCAGAAATGCGTAATGGGACGACGGTATTCACCACCATAGCCACTGCTGAGGGATCAGCTGCCCAAACAGGGATTATATTAATCCGTATAGCTCGAATCAAAGTAATAACTTAAGTGACAA